ATTCTTTGGCATTGCCTTTCTTTGGGATTGGAATGAAAACTGACCTTTTCCAGTCCTGTGGCCACTGCTGAGTTTTCCAAATTTGCTGGCATACTTAGTGCAGCACTTTCACAGCATCATCTTTCAGGATTTGAAATAGCTCAACTGGAATTCTGTCACCTTCACTAGCTTTGTTCAATACCACAAATCTCAGTGTTCTTACTGAGATTCAGCCTTTTTTTCTTGAATAAACACTTTCAGGGTTGCTGTAAACTTTTGATTGGTTTTCATGGTTCTAAAAATGATCATTCCCACAGATTTTCTAGTTTTTCCGTGTTTTTGCATAAGGATGAATTGTGGAATTTCTTACTCAGACGTTTTAACTAATGTCACTCCCCCAAAAGAACACAAAAGATGTGAACTATAAGTCTTTGCTTCTCTCAGAATGAGTATCAGCCTCTATAACAGATTGACTTATCCTGTGATTATTTGTTGACTTGTAGAACTCCCTGGATTTTAAGGAGGTTGTTTTACATGTTCTAATTAATAAATGACAATATCTTCTTTTCAATATCTTGGAAGCCTAGTAGATAGCCAAGGCCTGAGTTATGACCAGCAGAACAGATGGGGGTAGATCTCTGGCCTGTTAGTGCCAGTTCTGCACACGACTTTGTGGTGCCCTTGTGGTTCCTGTTGCTGCTTCTGTGTGTATATTCACCTGAGACTAGAGACAGGGCAGTCAGTATCTGTGGACCTAGTCAACATGATTTCCAGTGTTGTTGCAGTAGTTCTCCAAAATGGATCTGGAATCACCTCAACTTCTTCACCCAGCACTCATGGCCATAAATTGTGTCATTTCTATAGCTTTCTAACTTTAGTATTTGTGATAAGAATCACGTAGGGCACTTGCTTTGAATGGGAATTATTTAGTAGGTCTGAAGTGGTTTCAAGGAATCTGCATTTTAAATAAACCCATTCAACTGTTTTGATCCACATCAAAAGCTACTCAACCTCCAGTCGCTAATTCAAGTTCAGTGGGACTGATGCATAAAGCATAATGCTGGTTTCTCACTTGAAATAAAAAAAAATATAACTTACCACCAAGGGGATAAGATACTCACATCATATATCTTTTCCATATTGGAGAGCCAGATATGACTGTCATTTGCTATTTGAATTATCTTCCTTCAGACTACAGTTGTGAAAATGCCCCCAGGAACAAAGTTGAGGTGAATGCAGTGCTTGCCTCATGTTTCTCCTGCTTTCAAGGGTTGTAGCTCCTTAGTTCTTGATTGTTGATTGACCCATACCTCCAAGCCTCTATAAACAGTGGTTTTCTCCACCTGTTGTCATTGTTTCAGGAGAGAGGGCTAGTTAAATATAAGCTATTCCACCTTGGTTAGAACTGGATGTCCTAAGTGTCAGTTTTAAAAATTTAACTTTTCTAAGTCATTTTAGTTTCCTTATGTCCAAGCTTTTAAATTTTAGAGAGAAGGTGAATGACCTCATTGCCTCCTATAACTTAAATGGTTTATGAAGACTATTTAATATACAGTTTAATTTTTTAATATGAAAAACAAACGAGTAAACAGTCAGTTGTTTCAGAGGGAACATAATGTAAAGCGCTATGGGAATATAAAATTGTTGCACATCATGTTTGTTCCTTACAGAATATTCATCTAGCTTCTTATTCTTAATCAGAAATGTATAAAATCTTAGGTATATTTCACTTGCTGTTTGATAAAGTCAGATTTGGCTTTGAAAATGATATAAGTATTAATATAGCTTTCACAGCTTTCTGGATTCTTTTCTAGTGGGTTAATAACTTAGAAACTGATGAGATGTATTTAACATGGCCTTCAAGTTACCAGGAACTTTTGAAACCAATATTCCCTGGAAGTATACCTTTCATAAGGCGTAATTTTCATAATCTGGTGAGTTTTATATTTTGAAATTTTGTCTGCATCTTTTATAAAGATATCACTGGTTTTTTTGGTACTACCTTGCTGTTGATAATTAGGCATTGAGTAATAAGGAAGTTTCTGCCTAATGTAACAAGTTCGAGGTGGCATGGCTAACTAGGTTTCACAAGCTAGCAGGGACACATAACCTGCCTTTTATTGTTTTATACCCGTGTACCTTTATAATACCAATATTAAGTTGATGGGTTACTTTTAAATTTTCTAAAGGGAATTTATGATCAAATTTTCTTCTATATTATAAGAATTAATAAATTTCAGTACATTTAAGGGAAAAATACACAAACACTACTTTGTAATCTGTGCATAAATATGTTCATTATTACAGTGTTAAGTAACCTTATAGAAATTTAAACTGTGGAGAAAACGTATAGGACTTTTACAGTTTTCCACATAGAAAGTGAATATTAGTTCCTACAGCAGATGTTAAGCCATTATATTTTTGGTCAAAATTCAGTTTGTTTCTTTTTTAAAAAATTTATCACAGAAAATCCAGTGAACACTTAGAATAAGGTATTTCACTTCCTGTAAAAAAAAAAAAATGTACTTTCAACTGTGCTTCAAAAAGAAGATGAGTAATCTGATCAAATTTCATGTTTTATTATATTTGGGTGTGTAGCTTTTAGAAATTCTTCATAAACTGTGAAACTCTTAAATACATTCCTCAAAATTCTTTACTAGAAAGTTTTAAGAAATTGTACCTTGAATTTCATACTTTCAGTTACAGAAATTAGATTAAATTTCAATTTCATAAAAATTCTGAAGTGTTAAAACAAAATGGTGATTATAGACTGTTTACTTTTTTTTAGGTGCTGTTTATTGATCCTGCTCAAGAATATACCGTGGATTTTATAAAAGTTGCTGAACTTTTCTATCATCATAAAATTCCTCTTAGGTAATTGTCAATTTATAACTGTCAATTGAAGGAAATCCAGTGATGTTCACGTTGTGTTACACAGGGTATTAATGTGGAATTCAAGGTGATAGTTATCTCAGTGTTGTATGTTGTGAAGAATCATACACCCTTATGATAGACCCTGTTAATCACACCTGCTTGCTAATCTTGTTTACTGTATTACCTTCCTCAGAGAATGATCTGGTCACTTTGGGTGCTTAAAGATGGATCCATTTCCTATGGTTGTGTTAAGAGTACACTTCCTGGCCCCCTTTTTTTCTGGAAGAAAAAAAAAATAGCCACTTGATAATGTCACCACCAGAGAGGTTTACATTTTGGAAGACTTCTACAGAGATGAGAATTTTGGTGAATAGTCATTACAAATCAGACCTTTTCAAACAGTAATACTCTTCTTTATCCCATCTGTTAACTTATTCCCTCCATCTAGATGTTGGAGTCAAATAATGTTTAAAATACTTGGTTTGTTATGGTTCAAGAGGGAGTTGTAACATTTCTTATTCATCTTCTTTCCTAGAATTGGTTTTGTGTTCATTGTTAATACAGATGATGAGGTTGATGGAAGAAATGATGCTGGAGTTGCCCTTTGGCGAGCTTTCAATTATATTGCAGAAGAGAATGGTGTATCACAAGCCTTTATGTCCATAGTACATGTGAGTTAATGCACTACATATAATTTCTTCAGAATGTAGAGTGTTTTTGCATTGTTATCATTATTACTATTTGTTTTAACATTTTAGTTTATAAAAGCTGTCATGATAGACCAGTGCACATGATGAATTTGATTCTTGCAACTCTCAGCTTAAGTACACGATATTGTTCCCACTTTATAAACAAGGCAACTGAGACTCTGCCAAAAATCTGAATTTATTTAGGTTTACCCAACTGATAAAGGAACATAAATTGTATATATAAATTTAGAGGAAGCACATTGATAGAAAATAATTAGTAAGAGAATTCTTGAACTGGGTTTTGAATAAAATCATGAGTGGAGAAGATTATTTCAAATTTAAAGACTCTAAGTGGCAAAGTTTATAAGACTTCCTAGAGATTTTCAAAGGAGGAAAACTTCACAGCAGCAAATTGGTATCAAAATGATAAACGATAAGATTGATACTGAGTCTGACAAAGAAACTGTAAGAAATGGTAAGAATCTGATTAAGGAAGTAACAAGAGGTAAGAAGATTATTTTATAATGGTGGCTCTCTTATGGCTCATAATGGAAATACAAGTGCATTAAAGAACTGTATTGTTGGTGTTAAGAGAGTCAGATTATAGCTTTAAAAATCTTCTATTTATTTTTATATTTATTGTTCTATGGCTTGTCAACTGTTATTATAACTTCCTATCATATTGAAATGGACTTAAATAGCTGTTAATGATAATCTGGTATAAGCAGATAGGATCTCACACCTTATGTAAAAAATAATATCACGTAGCTTAAAAACTTAGTATGGAAAACATAGCATTAAGATGTTAGGAAGAAATTAGGACCCCGAAGGAGTTAAGGTTCCTCAATAATATTTTAAAAATTACGAGTCTGAAGGAGAATACTGATAAATTTAGCTACTTACAAATGAAAACCAGTGCATTGTTCATCAAAAGATATCATAAAGAAGTGAGGGAAAATAAGTTCCAAGGAAGAGAAATATTTGCAGTACATGATATGTATTAGATTTCCTACAAATTGAAAAACCCAATGGAAAAAATACAGAAAGAGATTTTTCAAAATATTAGAGGATACATTAATGTTAAGCCAAAATTATTGAAATTATTAAAGGAAGTAAATGTTTATTACAATTAATGGTAACCAAGTATTTCGGAAATTATAAAAATGCAAATAAAGCTTACCCTGAGATATACCTTACCTCCTATAATTTGGCAGTAATTAAGAAAGCTCACGGTATCTATCATACATTAATGAGAATGGAGAACAATGGAAATTCCTTTACACTGTTACACTGCCTATAAGAATATGAATTGGTATAACCACTTTGAGAAACAACTGTAGTTCTTCAAAATTTGAAGATAAATTTGCATATTCCCTACACACATGCACACACACATACTTTGAGACAAATCCTTGCTGCAGGAGACTATTAGCAGAATCACACACAATAGCAACAAACCGGAAACTACATATATATGGCATATTGGCATACTATATATATATAATCCATATTAATCAGTAAAACATAATCATTTTACATGATGGATCATGATATGCTAAAATCATGAGTGTATTAGAGGCATAATGAAAGTATAGAAGGCCAGCATATTACCATGCACTGGTTTTTTTTTCTTTTTTTTTCCATTTATTTTTATTAGTTGGAGGCTAATTACTTTACAGTATTGTAGTGGTTTCTGTCATACATTGACATGAATCAGCCATGGATTTACATGTGTTCCCCATCCCATTCCCCCCTCCCACCTCCCTCTCCACCCGATCCCTCTGGGTCTTCCCAGTGCACCAGGCCCAAGCACTTGTCTCATGCATCCAACCTGGGCTGATGATCTGTTTCACCATAGATAATATACATGTTTCGATGCTCTTCTCTCGAAACATCCCACCCTCGCCTTCTGCCACAGAGTCCAAAAGTCTGTTCTGTACATCTGTGTCTCTTTTTCTGTTTTGCATATGGGGTTTTCGTTACCAGCTTTCTAAATTCCATATATATGGGTTAGTGTACTGTATTGGTCTTTATCTTTCTGGCTTACTTCACTCTGTATAATGGGCTCCAGTTTCATCCATCTCATTAGAACTGATTCAAATGAATTCTTTTTAATGGCTGAGTAATATTCCATGGTGTATATGTACCACAGCTTCCTTATCCATTCGTCTGCTGATGGGCATCTAGGTTGCTTCAAATGAATTCTTTTTAACAGCTGAGTAATATTCCATGGTGTATATGTACCACAGCTTCCTTATACATTCGTCTGCTGATGGGCATCTAGGTTGCTTCCATATCCTGGCTATTATAACATGTACTGTTTAAAGCTCAAAAAGCAAACAAAACTAAATATCATAGTGCCTGGAAATACATTCAGGTAAAACTCTAGAACTTAAAAGGTAAGGAAATAGTAAACAGAAACAAGATGATGCTTGCTTCTGAGGAACAGAGGGAGATGAGATTGGGAGGAAAATTGTGCTTCACCGATATTATAATCCACAGTGATGTTCGTTTTCAATGTTATCTGGTTTGTTCGTGCAGATGGTTCATTTTGTTATACTTCATAATGTCCCATACTTTTTTTGCTTACCAAGTTACATAACAGTTCTTAAAATTATATATGGCTATTCACCTGAAGCTGCCACAACATTGTTAATGGACTATGCGTGTATGCTAAGTCTCTTCTATCATGTCCAACTCTTTGCGACCCTATGAACCATAGCTTCCCAGGCTTCTCCGTCCTTGGGATTTTCAAGGCAAGAATACTGGACTGGATTGTCATGTCCTTCTCCAGGGCATCCTCCCAACCCTGAGATTAAATCTGGGTCTCCTGCATTGCAGGCAGATTCTTTATCACCTGAGCCACCAGGGAAGCCCATAGCCCAATACAAAATAGAAAGTTTAAAGTTTGGAAAAAAATTTAGACATTCTGAAGCCAAGCAATTGAAGATTGAATAACAAAAATTTGAAATTTATGTATGATGTTCAAAGGGGTAAGTCTGTGATATTTGGGTTATAGTACTTACATATCTGCAAGTTTACCTTCCTAGCTAGACTATAAATTTCACAAGATTGAAAATATCTCTTTTGTGCTTACAAGATGTTACATACACATGTTAATGAAAATGAAAGGATTTATATTTTTATTTCAGGTCTCAAATTCTCATAGTGTATGAATATATTTAGATTGCACACACTCTTTTGCTTTCCATAGAAACAGAGTTGGTTTAAAAAAGGATTGAATTTTTAATAAACATTTGCATATAAACTATGTTATCTAAAATGTGAATAAATTGCATGGCGTCACAAATTCCTCAAAAAAACCCACAAAATTTTGAAATTATATATAAGATTGAATTATTATATATCTCAAGTAGCTTATGTAAGACATTCTCGTTAACTTAGATACCTTAGGAATACCTAATATTTTTAAAGTAACAAATTAGTAAAATGACTGCCCTCAAAGACTTTTCATATATAACTTTTGCTTTTTTCATAATCTTATTTTCTAATCACTGTTTCTGTTTTACAGAAGGCTGTACTTTTCCCCTTTTTTGAGTTATTAAGATCATAGTATGTTCTACTCTAATATAAGGAGAAAACTTGCTAATAAACTGAGAGACTCATAAAATCAAACTCTGAGAGCTACTTTTAGATCTGTCACCTCTTAAAGGGATAGGTTATACAATTTACAGTGATAAAAGGAAATCGCAGAATGCTAATTCCTTACTTTGCAGAATAATATGAAGATTCTGTCAGGCATAATATGAGGATTGTCTCTGGCAATAATACTTAAGTGAATTGGGACTAAAAATAATACTTGATATATCAAAATATTACCTAATTATGTTTGTACTTACTAGTTTTTCCCCTCTGCTTGGTAGGCTCTTTCCCCAGAATGTCTTAGCTCAAGTTCATGTTAATGTTTCAGTAAATCATCTGCTCAGAAATGCTGTCTTTCTTGAGGCAGAGCTGTCTGTTTTCCCCATGTGGAACAGTGCCTGGGTCATGGTAGAAGATCTATAGTGAAGGGGGAAATGGGAAAAAAAAAGGAGTAACAGCTTACTTTATACCAGTATGATTAAAGTATTTGAGACTGGAGGAAGAATGGATGTATAGAAAAAAAGCTAGTTAAGATATTTACTAAAGAGCAGTTGGAAATGAAAATAACCATTTCTGAAATAAGTCATTTAAACTATTTGTGTGTGTGTGTGTGTGTGTGTGTGTGTGTATATCTTTTAAAATAAAGGTAACTATTATTTTATTAAGAATCATAGGATCTGGCTTGATCAAAATAGACTATAACATAGAAACTTGATACGGTATTTTGAAAGCTATAGAATATCCACAATACCATTTTTATTAGAAGATGATAGATTTTATTGTTAAAATACTTTGCTTATCTCTGTATGTGGGGGGAGTGTGTGTATATAAATGTAGGTATATAGTATGCTTAGGACTTAGAAAATATAAAATAAGTTCTTTGTAAATATTCATGCTAAGGAGAAGAAATAAAACTAATTACTGTAAGATGAAAATCGTAATATCTTTATTTTCACAGATGTACCAAAAAGTGGAGAATCACAAAATACTCACTGTGGACAATGTGAAGAGTGTTCTCCAAAATAAGTTTCCTCTTGCTAATATTTGGGATATTTTAGGAATTGATTCTAAATATGATGGTGAAAGAAAGGTAAGTTGGAATGCAAATTTTTAAAAATATGGTGAAGAAACTTTTTTTATCTCATGAATAAATGATCTTAATATAACTAACTCTACAATCAGATTTAGATTTTAAATGTTTAAAAAAAAGGGAAATTTGTACCTTTGAATGACACGTTTTATACAGTGTTTATGTTACCACTATTGACATTTTAAGTTACCACTATTGACATCAAAAAAGTTACTTCTCAGAACTAATAGTGTAGAAAATCATAAAGACAACCTTAAAATAATTAACAAAGACACAATATGTACATAACCTACCAATAATTACTTAAATGTAAATGGACTAAATGCTTCAGTCAAAGGACAGTAACCAGATGGATATACAAGCAAGACTTGTGTATAAGCTGCCTCCAAGAGACTCAACTTCAGATCTGAAGATACACACAGACTGAAAGTGAGGGAATTAAATAGGTATTCCATGCAAATGGAGATGAGAAGAAATCCAGGGACCAGTTAGGTCAGATGAAATAGAGTTTAAAACAAGGCTGAAATAAGAGACAAAGGATGACATCATATAATAATCAATGGATCTGTCCAAGAAGAAGAAACAATTGTTAATATATGTATTTCCTTAGGGCAGAGTTTTTATATCATTTGTATGTGTTCATACACAGTAAGTGCTCAATATTTATATAGATAATAATTATATAGAGATATATATAATAGAGTTTTCAGTTCAGTCACTCAGTCGTGTCCGACTCTTTGCAACCCCATGGGCCGCAGCACACCAGGCTTCCCGGTCCTGCACCATCTCCAAGAGTTTGCTCAAATTCATGTCCATTGAGTCAGTAATACTATCTATTATCCACTGTCAGCCCCTTCTCCTCCTGCCTTCAATCTTTCCCAGCATCAGGGTCTTTTCAAATGACTCAGCTCTTCGCATCAGGTGGCCGAAGTATTGTAGTTTCAGCATCAGTCCTTCAAATGAATATTCAGGACTGATTTCCTTTCAGTTCAGTTCAGTTCAGTCACTTAGTCTTGTCCAACTCTTTGTAACCCCATGAACTGCAGCGTGCCAGGCCTCCTTGTCCATCACCAAATCCCAGAGTCGACCCAAACCCATGTCTATCGACTTGATGATGCCATCCAACGATTTCATCCTCTGTCATCCCCTTCTCCTCCTGCCCTCAATCCTTCCCAGCATCAGGGTCTTTTCCAATGAGTCAGCTCTTTGCATCAGGCGGCCAAAGTGTTGGAGTTTAAGCTTCAACATCAGTCCTTCCAATGAACACCCAGGACTGATTTCCTCTAGGATGGACTGGTTGGATCTCCTAGCTGTCCAAGGGACTCTCAAGAGTCTTCTCCAACACCACAGTTCAAAAGCATCAATTTTTCGGCACTCAGCTTTCTTCACAGTCCAACTCTCACATCCATACATGACCACTGGAAAAACCATAGCCTTGACCAGATGGACCTTTGTTGGCAAAGTAATGTCTCT